TATATATATATATATATATATATCGTTCTTGCCTTAAAAGGATTTTAAATGTCACATTACTATAAACATTTGTTCTAAATAGGTTAAATGACATTCATTTCAGTGGAATTGATTTTGTATTGTTGTTTGTTCACTGTTGTTTGGGAGACTACATAGGACCTTCTATCAAACTGATCTTCATCGTACAGTAATAAATGCTGCGGCCCAAGCATAAAAGCGCTAATAGAAATGCACCTGAAAACATGATTTAAAATACGATAAACGGATTTTTGCAATAACGTTTGAATATTAAGAATTAAATTATCGATAAATTTTGAAATCTAAAACTTATGTCCATGATAGAAAGCTCACTCCGAGATCTTAGAGAAAATATCATATTAGAACAATTTGACCAATGCGATTGGTTAATTTTTCTTTATTTGAGATCTCGGAGTGTTTTTAGCATTATGGAGACAAGATTTAAAACAATGTTTATACTTACCAACATAAGCTACATAAATTCCACCATTTGTTTTTACATATTTATAGGTCCCGACCTGTAATCATGTACAATATAAAATAAATATGATAAAGATCACACTAGATACAAAGAATTCAAATTTTTATACTTACTGTTACGGCTATAGCAATTATTAAGGCTATAATCCCAACGATAATGAATACAATTCCTCTTCCTCTAGCAAAATCTGGACCAACGGAAGATATTTTGCGGCAATGTGGACATCGAGCCAAAGCATTATTTAATGTGTTAAACTGTGGAAAACAATTTGTCGAGTGAAACAATGGACGCATTCAGCGGACACAAAAGAGTGAGCACTTGTTGCTATTTGTATATTGTTCTAGATTTATTATGAATCTGAAAATCTATTCCAATTACATATAATAATTACTGAATAATTACTGTTCATACAACTGTTGCATCTGTTAACATGACTAATAACTTTGAAATCTAATCTACAATGTACTTTGCTTCTTGTTTTTCACATTTTTATCCCTTGCCTTTTTGTTTCTTATTTTCTTTGTTTCATCATATGAGATAAAAGTTAATGAATTTCAAAAGAAATAAAAAACATTGAGAAGATACATGATTATCGATAAAATGATTGCAGAGAGAAAAAAGTAAGAGGTAAAAAGCAAAGAAAAAAAAACAGAAAATGAGCACATTATATATTTAATATATCATGTCTTTAATGACTCACCAAGAATGTGTCATGGCAATGAGCACAGCCTACCCTGCACATGCCTGGCATAGATAGAACTGGAGGTGTAATAGGACTTGGAGCAAGATTAATGATACGTTTACAATTTGGCCTGGGACAGGCAATACGTTGCGAAGAACTCTTGCATATGAGTAGACAATTGCACGGACATCGTACATACTTCTTTCCAGGGGGAGCATTACGTATAGGCTGTGCAAAAGAAGTAGACAATTAAGACTCATGACATTAACATTGCTATCTACTAGTAAACAAACTATAAACAAGAAATGATGGAAACGTACTGTGGCCTCGTTACATTGACAACACTTAACGACGTGCTGATCTCTCTTTCCGGAAATATCTATCATCGCTTGACAAACTCTGCAGGTGACCATTGGCATGCCACCCTGGATGGCGGACTGATACGGCGGTGGCAGTTCATCCGGACCGATTGTAGAGACGGTGTGCACATTGGACTGTGTTTCGTCTGCAATGACAAACAAGATAATAATATCCTCTTGGCGGCGATTCTCGGGCGTAAACGCATTCTCGAGCGAACGGTGTGCGAGATCCGCGATGTTATCGTACCGCCGATTGCATCGTTGTTGTGTGAGCTGTATGTGACGTTTTCATTCTTCAGCAGTGGCTGCCGCTCACCCTCCTTGCCGTCTCCCATGTCGAACGACGATGGGACCAACTCACTGCTACGGCACGACGAACACGATTCACTTCTATTGTTTGACAGAACAGCTCCCGGTGCATCGATGACAAGGATGACAAAACATGAATTCCCCCTGCCACCCCCGTATCGTCCACGATGTCGCGCGAATACAGAGGAGTAATCGCGGTCCTCGCCGTAGGTCTCGTCTGCTCGAGAGAAAGAAAATTCGCACTGTCCACACTCAAAGTGGAATGAATGTATCCGCTTGGAGTTAGCGGGAAAGAGACGGTAGATCAAAATTGCTCTAAAATCGTACAGGAGGCGCGGCCGAGAAACAAACGACTGTAGGGCAACGTTAGATGAGTTTCAGAACATCGCAGACGTTCTCGTTTTTCCTGATGTTGGCAGCACTGCGTCGGATTATGTTGGAGTCGATATTGGAGCAGAGAAACTTGAGAGCACCAGCCATCCCGGCCTTTTTCGTGTAATGTTTACATCAGCGCACCAACATTCTTTTTTGCGATATAGGAACTAAGTATAACGTTTATTTTGCGAAATTGTCGATAAAATCGCGTTGAAAAATAGATGTGGTGCGAGTCCGTGTTAAATCGCGGTGTCAAAAATGGACAGATGTTAATCCGTGCTACATCTACAATTGCGGGTTTTAACTTGTTTTTATGTTTGTATCATAAACTCGCATTTATGCATATTCATTTTTGACATCGCGAGTCAACACGAACTCGCACCACATTTACTTTCGACGCTGCGATTTTATCGTCAGTACGACGTTACGTAGTTCTCAAATTGAAAATGAATGTACTGGCGTTAGTGTACTGGCGATTTCGACGGTTCCCAAAAAAACATGGGATGACTTCTTTGAGATTTTTTTCTCTGACAAAACGGAGTGCATGTCGAGATTGGTTATGAAACGAGGCACGGACAATTCTTTTATAAAGTACCCTCAAGTTCAATTTAATTTACGTTGATTGTTAAAACGGTGAAAGAGTTAACAAGGCAATCGTGTCGTCTTTTCGATCAACGTTAAACGGAATCACGGCAAACCTCACGATTGTTTTGCCGGAGTTGCATGTGATCAGCGTGCAAATAGGAAAAAACATATACCTCAGCATTTCATAACAATTATGGAGATCATTAAACATTTATGGAATGTCAATCAATTCATAACGAAGCTGAAGTGTCCATTGGTTACAGATTTACAGATGTTTTACATGTAATTTTCTGGATGCTCTTTTTACTTACATTATTTATATTAATATACAATATAAATACAGTTATTTATAAATATAAAGAAATATTAAATCTTTATTTGTGATAAAAATTTCAACATTATTGCTCGATTACCATTAATTATTATTTGAGATGTGTAGAAATTAAAATAATTTTGTTAAAAATAACTTCGTAATTATATTTTGATAATAAATTTAAATAATCTGGAGAGAAAAATAAATTATACTGTTATACTCACATATATTGTAGATTTAAATAAAAGAATTCTTTTTAATATTTATTAAAATGTTTTCAGGCAGAAATGTAAAAATTTTAGTAACAGTATAGAGTTACCACAGCAGAATTTTGGACCATCAACAGCATGTTCGCATTGCGGGTCACTTTGGAGTATAGTGGATCATCAAGTTCGGATAGCAAGAGGCAGAAAAATGTCTAAATCAGTGAAAAAGATTGTACGAAACATAAAGGAAAATCCAGATCAAAAGATTCCAAAGATTCGTGCAACCTTAGCACAGAAATCTATAAAAAATGAGATGAATAAATTGGTCATTAAATGTTCTGTCTGTTCTAAGAACACTGAGTTGCCATTCAAGAAGAAAAATCACTTAAAGCCAGTAAAGTTGAATAATTCACAAATGGAGACACCGCAAAGTAATCGTAAAAAGAAAAAAAAGAAATCTAAGGACAAAACTGCTGGTTTAAATATCTCGGGTTATACGCCTGTATTACAATTGAACAAGAAAGACAATAATGTAACGCCTACAATATCGCCTGCGATTACACCTAAAATAATTTCAAGTAACAAGAAATCTATTTCCCCTAAAAAATCTAAGAAATTAAATATAGAACGATTAAAACGTATTATGGAAAATAAAACATCTTCAAAAACAAAAAACTTACATAGTTTTCTAGCCGAGTTATGTTGAAAATGTATATATATATATTGTAAATATCTGTATAATAATGGATAATAACATTTTTTTAATAAAGAGAATAAAATAAGTATCTGAATGTAATTATTAGAAGTATAATTAAAATTTTGAATTTATAGCCATACTTCTATCTTTAAGGTATTAGGTTTAAGGTTTAAGGTAGCATATGGAAGTGGATGTGAGTATCATTTCTTAAAACAAAACACACTTTGCATTATTAATATAATTCTTATGAGGCTTTTTCAAATTACTGAGCTAATTTTATTCTCTAATTTAAAGATGACTATTGTTCAATTTTATTTGCAACTCAAAATATAAATCTTTATTATAAATACCTTATTTTATAATAAAAATATTTTTAAGATAAGATTTAAATAACGATTGTAAATATAGTTCTTACTAATTATGATTAGAAAAAAATCACGAATACGTTTTTAAACTAAATTGTCTATTTCTTGAAAAACAGTAATATAAAGCAGAAATAAACGTGTTTTCAAACAATTATACAATATAACTCCCATTAACAATTATTTTATCTATCAAGAAGTAAAGAAATGTTGATTATATCGTTCCACATTTTCAGTTGTTAACAAATAGAACATGTAGAGATGAACACTATTTCTTCTCGCTGAATGTTTGCGAATGAGACGTTGAATTAACATATAAATCACACCATATCGAAAGGTAAACAAGTTTTTGGCATTATAACTAAGACATTCGTATTACACTACTCCTGCTCCTACATTATTTTCGCTGTGGTCCTATATTATTTTCACTTTGTGGTCCATGCAAATAAAATAAATACACTATACAATATACGATTTGTCACTTATGGCTCCGGATACGCGCGTCCGTTTTTTTTTCCGAGATTCTCCTCCGCAGTCACTCCAGTGGAATCTCCTGCTTTACGACCTGCAACATTGGAGGATACTTTATGCACGGCGAAGTTGTAGAATTTTAATGTATTCCCGTAGCACATATCTCACTCGTATCTTATTTACTTCAATATCCGAATAAAAAAGACAACTCACATAGGATAGGGAAATTGTTATTTACGCAGTGGGAAGCTGCGAATGGCCACGCGGATCCACAATATTGGACATTAAATTTTTATTTCACTTTAAATAGCACATGTAGGCAGCATATCCAATAGAATTCTTTTAATTTTTAGAATGAGAATTATTATCAAAAATTGACAAATGAATGAAATGTATTGTATTAACTTTATCATACATTTAAATAATTTTGAATTCATAATGTATACTTTATCAGATATCGTATTTTCAGATTACTAATCTGAAATATTTTTATGTAGAATTATGCAAAAATGTAATTTAACTGTTTATGCGATTCATTAAGATATTATTTTGAAATTCCGTCTAAAAAAATAATTGATATTACGAATTTAAATACCTAACGTTAAAATAAGATTTCATTAAAATATTTCTTTAACTATATAATTATCTATTATTTTATAATTCCTTTAATTACATAATAGTCCATTATTTTGTTTTATAATTATCTCTAATTATGCTTCTATATACACGTTTTTGTGCTCGACGTCGAATTAATTAATTAAATTCCGAATATAAAACATCTGCTATAATGCATTTTAATTTCCTATTATTAATTATATTTTTCTTTAATTTCTTAATTTCAGCAAACTGATTAAAATAAAATTTTATTCTACAAAAAAAAAGCAGAATAGAACAAAAGTTTTTTTTTTTTTAATATAGAGAACAATTTCACACATTATATAAATTATAAATTGAATTTCATTTAGAATGTATATTCTCGTCGATTCTTCTACTCATCTATCTTTCATAGTGCACTCGGAAAGAATTATAAGTGTGAATAATAGAATATATATTCTCATTGATTCTTCTGCTCATCTATCCTTCATAGTGCACTCGGAAGGAACTATAAGTGTGAATAATACTGCAAAACATCAGTAATACAAGATACGGTCGTTCGATAGTGGTTTACGGCGATTTATTCATTTTTACGATTTTGTCGAATTCACTTTACGAATGTCTCGTGCACGCAGGAATTCTACTTTCATGCAACTGCTATGTTAATTCGGTCAGTGGGTCACGGCAGGAGATGCGAGGAGGAACCGAAAGAACTGGAAGAACAGACTGGCAGGAGCGGTGGAGGAGGAAGAGGAGGACCAAGAAGACACGGAGGAATCGTGTTAGTCACCTGAATGCAAGCCTCGAGGTAATCCCGCTCGGACATTTCCTGGTCCTTCGCAGGGGGAACTTTTCCCCGTCGGCGCAACTCTTGCTTGGCGTCGTTCAAGTCAAAGATTGCCACGGGATCCAGCCTGCCCTTGAGCACCAGGCCCGCCAAGTATTCAATGTAGTGCTGCCTGCGGGGGAAAAGTACCCAAGATTTTAGTCAGGCCCACGACATGCGGTTCCCCGCTTGCGTTTACCTTAACCAGGTCGTTCCTGTAATGCTCCGGGTCACGCCCGTACCAGTTCGCGGGCAGTTTCAGCCCGGCGCGTCGCACGCACGTTTCGAGATCGTCCACGTTTAGCAAGGGCAGCGGTTCCAGCTGCGTCAAACGGATCTTTCGAACTAGATACTCGACGTAATGAATCCTGAGAGATACACGGAGGATCTCGTTATAGCGATCGACTGGGGGGAAAAATAAGAACGGGATAGGAAAAGGTGGCGACTTCGCTGCGAGATCGCTCGAAAAAAATGCCTGGAATCGCCGCAAGATTGGGACTGATAAGACTCCCAATAATATACTCATGAGTGAGGATGCGTTCAGGAATTCAGAGGGCATATATCATTTTGTCTTTTGTTCATCGAATTAAACAAAGATAAAATAGATACCTGGATGCATCCGAGAAAAATTTCTGAACGCAGTCTGAAATTCTAAAGTTGATCGATGAACGCGTCGCGGATGTATGTACTATTTAAAATCTTCTCTATCAAAATTCAAGGTTTTAATTTCGAAGAATTACTGAAGCAACTTTCATTGATACTAGTAAAACTATTTCTATAAATAATTTCTCGATTATTTATGAAAGAAAGAAATACATATTATAGTATTAATAATCTTAATTGAATTTTTCTGTCACAGCTATTATTAGCAACCTATTATCATTTATAATTGAAATGGATAATAATAAAGTTTTCAAAACAGATTTCAAAATTTTATCTCTTAACTTTTTAGTCTGTTAATTTATTTTTAATTTTATAAACAAATTTGTAGCGAATATCGAGTTCACTATGATGGAGCTTACCTGCACAAACCAGCGTGACCCTCGACAACATCGGAATTGCATACAGCATCCACGACCCCGGTCGGCGTTTCTTTCTGCAGTTGCACCTTGCATTTGCGTTGTCCGACGGGACCTTCGATGTCATAATTGATACCATTTTCTTTGAGTAACTGCTGCAACTGCGCCGGCTCCTTGTCACGAAGGTAGAAGAGGCAGTTGCGTGGATGGTGGGCGTGCAGGCCCAGTTTAGCGCAATAAGGGCTGACCGCACATTTTGCTCCCATCATGAAAGCCTTGCCGCAACCACAGCAAAACTCATATTTACACTGGCTGCACGTGAAATGCATGCAACCTATAAAAATTCACGAGCCCTCTTTTTTTTCAGCGAGCTTCGAAAAATGTTCCTGTGATATGCATATCGAATAATTTAGAAAAAATATCTCGGCCCATATTTTAAACTCACCCGAGATCGATAAAAAAAAATAACGTGGTATTAAAATGGCCCACGTATATTAAGATAATATTTGGAATCAACATTCATTAATTCTTTCATTACCATATTGTTTTTATAAAATAAAAGTAATAATTACTGCGTATTCTGCAATTTTTTATAATAATGGTTTTCTTTTAGAAATATTTAACAAAGAAAGAAGAAGTCAATTCTTTTTATGCAAAAATACAAATTAAACAATTAGGATGTACTTAAATAATTAAAGTCGAGAATTGATAATAAAATTTCGTAATAAATAAGATTGAATAGATGTAAATTATCTTTGCAGTAAAGTGTAATTATTACCTCAAGAATAAAAAAAACAATAACCATTGCGGAATTTATATTCTGCAATTTTATATAGTAATGGTTTTCTTTTAAAAATATTTAATCAAGTCAAAGAAAAAAGTGTTACGAAACAATTTTTTGAAAGACGCCAATTAAACTCAAATAATTAAAGTCGAGAATTAAATGATAAAATCTCAAAACAATAAAACTAAATTAATGTAAAATTGTTTTTTTATTATTATCTTTCTAGTAAAGTGTAATAGTTAATAATTATTACCTCCTCGAGACAGCGAATAACGAAACTTGCATTTAGGACAATCGATGCCATTGTCGGCCAAATGTTTGGCTAAACCTGCGGCTTGATTGTCGGGATCATTCTCGTCCTTCCAAGCGGCAAATTTCTCGCATGAGATTCCTTCATGTTGTTTTTCCCACTAAAGTAGGCAAAAATAAATTATTGCCTTCTTGTTTAACATAAACATTATCAAAATCATAAAAGTGTCAAATTCATACATACTGGTCTTCGGCAAAAAGCACAAGTGACAGATCGACAATCGGGACAAATTAAGCGCTTGTGATCAGGATCGGCATAAAATCCGCTTGAACACTGGAAAATAATTTTTTTTTAAATAGTGAATTTGAAGATTGCAATTAAATAATTACCTGAATACACCACTTAAAATTTGGATCCTGCATCAAAGTCCGATCTCTTAGTTTTCTCTGAAAGAGCTCATGAATTGGTGGATCCAGCAGGGTCTTCAATTGAATGTCCAAATTGCTGAAATACTCTAGAACTTCGTCTTCGCTCGCATCCTTGAGATTAGGTTCCTTACAATACGGACAAACGGCATCTGTGATGTTCCTGTCGCTGATCTGAATGGTGAAGTAATTCTTCGCACATTCGTTGCAGCAGCGATGTACGCACTTTAGCATGGACACTATCTAAATGAGAAAAATTTACAAGTAGAGTAAAAAGAATTTAAAAAATGACAATGCGCTTTTCTTGTTGATATCTCTTGTCTGATTCTTGATTATTTTAATAAACTAGAATAAAATTTGTAAAATAAGATGAATAAATCTAGATAGAAATTTAAGAACACAAGAAAGTGACATTTCTTTTTTGAAATTAATCAAGAGGTTTTACTTTTCGCATTTTTTAATTTTCCAGATTTCTCGCGATGGACTGGACACTCACTTGACTCATCGCGAAACGACCAGTGCACAGCTCACACTCCTGCTGTAAGAAGGCTAGCGCGGATTCTATGCTGGAGCATTCTTTCGCGGCCTGGAGTGCTTCGGTGTCCCCAAACTTGAGAGTTAGCAAACTAGCGGCGACCTCAGCCTCATCGTAATTCGCAGCTCGACCCTCTGCCAGGAGACGACGCGCTATTCTCTGCACACGTGACGGACATAAGATTGCTCCGATATCGGCACGTACGCAGTTTCCACACATGATATAAAAAGGTATTTTAGCTTCGTCTAACAAATCTCGACCTAAAGTGGAAAGCTTGAGATCTGTCGTTTATCGATATATAAATATGGACCATTTACAAATCTGTGCGTGTAATTAATACAATATAAGCGGTATTTTGGAAATTATGGAGCATATTGTGCAATATTGACATTTTCTTCACATTTAAATTCAATAGATAAATTATGAGGAACAAAATAAAGTATTCTGTTGCTTAAATTAAAATTATTTCGAAAGTAGGAAGTTCCAAATTTTTGTCATGCAAGAGAAGAGAAAGTAGACCGCACCAACGTCTAAAAACGAGCTCTCTTTCTTTTTTTGATAAATATAAGAAACATAAGTCTCAACTAAAATATCAACATTTCGTCTACTAAAATAAAACGATTAATTGATATATTTATAATGAATGCTTATGCATATACAAACCTTAAATATTTTACATTTATGGAGAATATATCGAATATAATATTCAATTTCCTAAGTAATTAAATATCATTACATTTTAGAAGTAATATTTCCATTCTTTACAGACAATGAATTAGTCACGACACAATACTTACCTTCGCGTTAGCTACGTCTCGCCACAGTTAAATGATTAACCCATTAACGCGCGGTTAAAATTGAAAGAACACTTTCGTTGCGTTCGATCATCTTTCCCACCCACTTGGAATTTCGAGCTGTTTGTAGACATTGGCTTGCCAACGATAGAAAAGGCCGATTCTTGGCGGCTCGAACATTCGCGAGGACTTTTTGGCAACTGACATTTTCTACAAGGGAGAGGGAGGGTCATGTATCACTTTGGCAACTCTTGTCTACTGACCTCCCGTTCCGTTTTGGGAGATCCTTGTCTCTTGCGCCTGATGCTTTCCCTTTCGGTATTCTCTTCGCCCTCGAACCGACGGATGAAACTGGCTACGAGGGAAAATCGTTTCTTGGGCGCTCGAGCCCGATCCACCCCCTTTAATGTATCATCTTTCTCGATTTTGACCTCTTTACTACCCGTACTCACCCTTCGACCTACTTTCACGCGTTTATCTCGTGACTCACGACTCGTGATTCTCAGTGTCTTTATCGCATCGGTCTGCATTGTCGACTGATCTCTTTGCTCGATTTTGCTCGCGACTTCAAGCTTTGTCTCATCCTTCTTCAAGTCATTCATTTGTGACTGGATATTTTCTTTAGAATTTGTATCCTGCTTGATATTCGCTGAAGATGCTGTCGCCGAATTTATTACAGCAATGTTAGAATCTGCTTTAAGATTCTGAGAAATTTCTAATATCTTTTCATTAATTTCCGAGTTTATTTCCGACCGAGGTAATTCTACGATTGTAGTAGCAGTTGGTGCCTTCAACTTATTTTCTTTATCTTTTTGCGTAACCTGAGAATTACTTTCCATTCTGTTCGAAATGATGGCTTCATTGTCATTTATTTCATTGTGTATTATAACGTCGGTCTCTTTATCAAGCACTTCAACTTGTTGCAAAGTTTTGACTTGTTCATTCATCTCTTCCCCTTCGGACGATAATTCTTCATATACATCTTCCACCGAATCTTTCAATCCACTCGACTTAATCTCCTGTTCATCGACCGAGTCTTCGGACGATGTAGAATCATGATCGTGGCTTTCCGTCTCGTACGAATAAGTGACGGCTTCACTTTCCTCGGATTCGCTTGTGCGTTCGTCAGACTCCGATATTTCAGACCTTATCTCATTTAGCGTTTTCTCCAACAACAACTCTGCGTCCGTGAACTCCTCGACAGAATTGTATTCCGAGTTATGATCAGAAATGTACTTCGCTGTTCCTGTGTCTTCGTCCTCTTCAGAACACTCGGAATCGAAGCTGAAAGCATCCGAGCTTTCCTCGATTGCGTTTTCGACTTCCAATTGTTTGCCAAGATCCGCGGACGGATCGTTATGCGTCGAGTTCGACACTTGTGAATTCTCGTTTAATTCCGATTCTATTGACTTAACTTTCGGAGGTTCTTCGGTTTCTTCATTTTCTACAGTACTTTCTTTAGCATGATTCCCTTCCAAGATTTGCTTGTCTTTCACATTTTCTGTAATTTCAATCGCTCTATTATTAGATTTAATTTGATTTCTCTTCAGTTTGTTAGAATCCTTAGAATCAATTTTCTGCATGCTTGACGAGTTCGATACATTAGCTTTTTCCGGAATTTTTAAAGATAATTTCGAAATTGCTGGCAACATTATTGGCAATTTAGTTGATGCGCTCTTTAATAAAGACGTGTCATTTAAATTTATTTTAGAAAAGTTTGATGAAGCACTATCTGTTAATTGCGTCATTTTTCGTCGCATTAGAATGGGTATTTTTGACGTTAAAAACGATTTAGATTTTAAATTACACTTTTCCATTTTTATTAAAACTTTACCATCGTTCGAAATTTCAATTTTGTGATTTATCTTCTTTATTGCTCGATTTTCAAAAGTCTCCGCTTTTATATTTTTCGAGCTTTCCGGATTTTTATTTTGAATATCTTCAATAATTTTGTTTTTAGGATATTCCGTTCTCTTTTTAAAATTTTCCAATTTATTTCCATTATATTTTTTAACAATAGGTATTTTAGTTTGCGGTTCGAGATTGGTCGCGTGATTGACTATCGATATTTTTTCTAAACCGGACATAGAAACCTTTTTATTATCATTTACTTTAATATTTGCCGCAGTTTTTTGCGCACTATTTAGTGATTGTTTAACAGTTTTATCTGGTTTTTTTGCAACTAATTTATTTTTATTGTCTGTCTTATTGTTCGCGATATACGTGGGCTTTAAGAGTTCTTTAATTCGCGACTTATCAGACTGCATTGCTCGATTCGACCTTTTAGTAATCTCGTTAACCGTTGCTTTCGCTTTTGTGACGGTCGTACTGTATGGACTTGCGCTTTTCCGTGCTAAATTTTTTCTCGGTACGCTTGTTGATTTTTTTACTATCTTAACGGGCGACTTTCTTCGAACGATTTTTTTAAGAGGCGATCTCGATCTGCGACTCACGACGGGTTTCGCGATCACGCTTTTACGAGATTGATTTACTTGTTCTGTATTTTTTTCTATCAAACTTTCATTATTTGATAATTTTGATGGCTCAACCTGTTCATTAGACGCTATGACTGAAATTTCATTTCCGGGCGAATCGACATTTTTCGCATTCTCCATTGTATCAACATCTTCAATCTGAACCGTTTCGCGTTGAACGATATTTGCGATATTTTTTATCGGCGCACAATCATTTACCGTTGTTACTGGCGATTCTGAGACCTTTATTTCAAAAGTGTCAGGTATTCCGGGCGTCGCGTCGTTGACATTTGCTATAATAGAATCCGAGGAGTCTTCGTTGACTGTTGAAGCGATATTTCTCCCCTCAGGCGGTGTTGTAAAGAATATATTGAAATTTTTAAGCGCATGTAAGATATTTCTTGTCGTTGAATTTGACATTTTTATATCTTGTCTCTTGTCATCATGCGATTGAGAAACTTCGTCTCTGAGATGAAGTTCCTCGTCGCGATTTATGGGATGCGAAATACTTTTTTTCGATTCTAAAGAAAGAACATGTTCGACAGATAATTGAGGAGACGTGTTATCTGGTATGTCATTATTACTATTTGATAATTCATTTAATTGACTATGTACATTTTCGTCGGGAAGTTTATTACTATTTGCAACAGAGTTGTTATCAATAGATTTTGAAATTTCAGGAATAGATACTGTTGTACTATTCTCTGGAATTTTAATGTCTTTTGAAGTTTTAAGGTCACTAAAACTGTTTGATATTTCAAGATACGAAATATTTTTAGGGTAAGTATTAATATCAAGATTATCTTTTGATAAAGAGGGTGATATTATTTTTGTATGTGTTATGTGATTATGAGGAAGTGTAATTATTTCTTGATTTTTTGTCGAATTAAATAATTGATCTTGATTTATAATATCCTGTGAATCTGTTAAAGATTGAACATCTGAGGTCTGTTCAATCATTAAATTGTCAGATTTTGCCAAGACAAATGTAATTTCCTTCTCTTGATTACGTAGATTATTTAAATTCATTTCCATGGAGGCATGCGAGTGTGTTAATGGTGGTACGATACTTTCAATAGTTCGCGATTGAGTAATGGATAAATTATTGGTCGTATTTTGCTCAACAGGCACGTTTTCTTTCAACGTAGTTTCATTTTTATCGTCGCTCGCGGGAGTGTGATATGTGACCGAAATTGTCTGTTCTACTTTTTCCGAAACGTGCACCGCATTTTTCGAAACAATCGGCTTTGTATCATTTTTATCATGACGCAATGTCGTTTCTTGATCATCGAATATTTCGATGAGCGGTGATTTAATATCGAGAGAATGATCAGAAGATGAATTTACTTTTGCGAGAGATAAAGTAGACGAAGTTGATGAAACATGCGCATGAGATGAATCGTTTAATTGTCGCTCGTCCGATTTGTTAATATCTTGTTTATTTGCCATATTAGTCACGTTCATTATTACTTCATGTGAAACAGTCGAATGATCAGCGTTAGAATTATGAACGATCGATTCTTCTGGTAAAACATTTATTTCCGTTATTGATTGAGCAGCAGATTTTTCCACGTTAAAATTATTTATAGAAGCTAATGAACTTTCGTCTCGTAACAAGTTATTTTTTAGAAGTGAATCAATGTCCGTATTAACGAGAAGCTTTTCATGAGATGTCTTTTCGGAAGGACTTTCTACTTCCTTTGATGACGATGGTGCATCAGTCGAGCAATTATCGGATGTAAGCTCAAGAGATTTTTGGACGATAGATTGATGATGCGTTGAAGATATTATTAACGGTTGCACATGAAAACTCGATAATTCACCTGAATGTATTTCCTCGGCTGATCTTGCCTTCGACACGGTTTCGTCTCCGATAGATTCTCCTTGATTATTACTTCTTGCAGACACATCGACTATCTCTAAAGAATTCTTACATGAATATATTTCCCCGACAACGTCCGTTTGTGACGCTCCAGCTATTCCTATATTTGATGTTACTGCATCGTTCATGATCCGAGATTCTTCAGGAGTGTCTTTGTCCATTACATCCACCGAATCGGAAAACGTCAGATCCGTTGCGATGTTAGTTTGCGAAATGTTAGACTCGTCTATGTCTGTACCTACCGATCTGACATCCTGATGTTGTTGCTTAATGTCTGGAACGCTCGACCGAGACTTCACCATCCGAGATTCCGGAACCTTAGATCTTGCGATTTCCTTATCGATAATTTTGTTGCTTTTCAATTTTTCGGAACTTTTCTCCAAATGTTTACCTTCTTGATCTTTTTCCGAAAGTGACTGCGATCCAGTTTTGTTTTCAAGCACAGCTGCGGAAACGGATTTCTGCTCAGCATCAATTTTTGGAGGAACATCTGTTACCATTGATTTCTGAAGAGCGTTAATTTTCGTCCTGTCAGTGATTTCGGCCTCAGACACGTCAACTTTATGGTCATCAATTTTCATGCTATGTAAAGTATTTAACTGGTTCATAAGTTGCACATCGGAAGTTTCGTTGACATCACCTTTCCCGGGCGACAGCATTTGCATTGCTGTTATGAACGGCGTCAAAAACTGTTCCGGCAGTGATTTCACGGCAGACAGCAGAGCTTCCACCGTTACGTTGTGCGGCTCGTCATCGTTCTGCGTGGGGATTTCCTTTATGACACGCTGATCAGATTGCTCCCGTGCGGAAAGATCCCTTTCGGATGCGCTCGCGTGTACTTTCTCCGTCACGTTCGCCGTATCCGCGATTGAGGATTCGTCCCGCGATGCATGCTGCGGCAATATATCGGCTCCTTGGGGGACACTCGAATTTGGGGAAGGGGTACGAAGTGCTCCGCTCAATTCTACAGACTTCCCAACTTCGACGAGTGATTCGCTGTTCCCCATCGCGGTGCTCTGTCTTGCTATATCAGAAGGTATTTCAGGACCACTCAAAGTTTCCTGACGTGTAGAAGAGGACTGACCCGGTTCCGTATTATTCGTTGTGTCAAGCGAAGAAGTTCTATGTGATGAGGATACTTCAACTCCGGCGTTATTTGGTAATAATCTTTCCTGTTCCTCCGGTAAATTCGTAACTTCCGTCGCTACTGCAGTTTCATCGATCGATGTAGGCGAGGTGTCAGCATGCGTTTCTCTCGTCTCTTCGTGCAGCTGCACAATTTGTTTCACTTCATAGTTCTTCTGACCATCGAATTTTAGCAGATTGGATTTAGTAATTTGCACAACACTTTTGTCGGCATCAATCGTCGATGATTCTCCAGTTGAATCATCAGCATGGTCAATTTTCGAGGGGTATTTAAGCGTATGTGAGGAGTTCATTGCACTTGTCTTCGCGAGATCATCGACTGTGGATGCGGGAATTTCTATAGGCAACGCGGCATCTACTTGGTCCAAGCCTTCTGTTGGTTTCGTAGTGTTCAACGAGTACTTTGAGTCATCCCGCGAATCTACGGTCGTCTGTTCTTGCCGCGTGATCGTAAGATTGCTTGGCTCCGCTACGTCGAGCGCTTGTACGGCCCTTGGGACCAGATTTGCATCGATTAGAACAGTGGGCTCATCAGAGTGGTCGTACAGATTATCAGACTTATTATTACCCAATTTGTTCGGGGGATCTTTCTCGTGTCGCCAGTTATCGGTCAGTTCTCTGAGGGCTGCCAGTTGCTTTTGAAAGTCGGCTTGCAACGCCACGAAATGATCAACAATTGGTGACATTACCTGCTTCTGCGCTTCCGTATCGGATACATTCGAAACTTGTTCCGTGGAACCAATCCCTGTCCCACCACCGACCGCACCCGTTGCGTCTGCGGCAAAAAGAAAAATCGGCGCATATCGATGATCTTTATTTATTCCTCGAATATTAAGTTCTTGTGACTCTTTTATAAATATGCCGGTACAAATAAAATAAATACAAATTTAAAATAGAGTGTTATTAACAAAGTTTAACGCAAACGATGATGCGCTAGATAGTTACATTTGATAAAATAATATTAAGAAGGATTAATCTTATTAGCTCTCAAATGTGAGTCAAGAGACGAGTCGTTAAACTCTTATTAATCCTATTTTAATTTTGTTATTTCAATTTCAAGAGTCTTGATTCTTGTTAATTTAAAATATTAATTTAAAATCTTTCACTTTTAATTTTCTTAAGATTATATATATAATATTTTTCTATTGCATATAGAAAATATAAGTCATTCTAATAGTAAATTGTAGTAGTACATCATAATATTGATTAGTAAAATTTCATATTTCAGATTGCATATAAAATGAAAAGAATAGACATCTATATATTTTTAAAATCTATAAATATTAAATAGTAACAGAATATATAAAAATGATGCTTACTATAAAATAATATTAATATATTTTTTTCTAATATTAAATATTTAAATATTGAAACATTGGAAAAAACTATGAAATTATCATAATTGGCGTATATCAAACATTCACTGACCTTCGTGCGGTGCAGCCTCCTCGTTTTCCACCCCGACCGGAGGACCCCAAATCCTCATTAAAAAGGGCTTGAGCTGATTCTTTTGCAGCTCAAGCAGAGTGGCATCTTCGATACCAGCGTTATTATCGAGAGCTCTGATAACGTCTGTGAGCGTAAAATTTCCCTTTGCCATGATCTGTTCGCACTGCCAATCGAAAGGACAACAAATTAATAATGATCAAAGTAATCTCATTAAAGATTTTAAATATTTAAATATTTTTCCTCGCACGCACTTTCTGCTGCCTGCGTTGAATAGCTATCGCAACTGCATTCCACATGTCGCCCTTGACTGATCGTAGGGCCTCTTTCGCCTCGGCCGGTGAGAGCACACCGATGCTGTTCTGCTTCAATTCTTTGCCCTGCGCAATCACCAAAACCTGCACAGTCTCCACCAGATGCGGCCACTGCGTCTGAAGCCACTCGAGAGGATTCGATGCGCCTTGCGCCAAAGCGACTTGAACATCGTCGGTCGTGAATCCTTGCTTCTCGGCTTCCCGTAGGAGCTCCACTATCTCCAATCCTTGACGAGTCAATGTGGAGACTGCTTGACTTGTACTGGAACCTGCCTCCGTGTATCTTGATTGGCTGGGTTCCTGAAATCAGTAAAAACACATTGCCATCAATGATCGTCTCATTAAAAATTGGCAAAAGCATGAGATTGCAGTGAACGATGTTACTTGATATGGAACTAGTCACAATTGTAGTAGAGTTCCACCGTCATAGATTATCTTTAATATGCTGTTAAAGTGCGTGTTTAAATTAATATACCAGAAGTAGCAGCAGCTGTAAATGTATTACGCAAATAAGCATAATAAATATACATAAGCGATCTATTAAGCGGTTGGAGGATGCTAAAAAAATTAAAATATCATCCTGCCTATGCTCACACCGAGGCTAATTATTGCAACGGTTAGATCGAGGCTGACGAGATGTACAAAGAAAAATTCGTCAGGCTTGAGTTCGTAAGCGAGTTACCCTGGAACGATAATAAAGGTGGGACGAGTCGATGGAGTTTCTTCTGGTCCGCTCTCTGCTTCGATGATCGGTTATCAATTGCTGAAGATACTGTTCCTGCAACGCTCGCGGATACAAATCGGGACTATTTACGAATCCGGCTTGTTCCTGAAACAAATGCTTCGTCTTGTTCCTTTATTAAAACGCACAAAGACCGTGATCGATCACGTATGAAGTGAAAGATGCAAAACATCTTACTAAAAAATATTTTATCGATGATTTTTTGATCGTAGAGTTTCCGAGTTGCTTTTATTTAATATTTAATTATGTTTTAATTTATTCGCAAATTTTCGCTCACCTCACCATCGCTATCATCGTAATATGAGTAACTCTTTGACGTTGCTATCGACGCGGATCTTCTGAGAGTCCCTTTTGCAGGGAGATAGTCGTAAGTCTAAAATATTTTAATGCAAAATTTATTTTCATCTAATCTTCTGTTTAAGTAATATTTTCATCCATATTTATTCGTAAAATATTTCACAAACATAAATAATATCTCACTCAAACAATTCTTACTTGGGTCGAGATGCTCTGCGGTGGAGGAGACGTTCCCGTAGATACCGAATGGCTCTTCAAAAGTTTCCCTCGAATCTTTTCCTCATCTGACATCGTGTTCGTATTGTCTGCCTTGGAAGTATTCGCAACCGAAGAAGATGTTAACACCGAGGATGATGCTTCTGAGGACAAATTCCCATCGACTGGCGATGTCGTGTTTACCGATTTCAACGACGCCTCTTTTGCTTGCGAAACTATAGCTGTGATCGTAGTTTCAGAATTCTCGAGAGAATCATTGTCTGGAGCAATAGCTTCTGAAAATCATAAATTTACCCCATAATTCAGTGTAATTGTGAATTATTTTACACTATAGTTAAATTATATGTTTATGGGGATATAAATTCGATCGATACTGTAATATCGCGTTTCCAATAGGATATTTTTGTGTATCATATCATTTTCAAGGTCAATCCAAAATATACATTTATGACATTTTTATCATTTCTACAAACAAAAAGAAAAAATAAAATCGAGAAATAAATAAATACTGCTGGAAAATTTTGATATATAGATAAGATACAAATATTGATATATATATACACACACATATGACTTTTTTCTATTAATTAGTATTAATTAAAAAATCTGTTAATTTGCCAATCTATTAGATTTGTACCGCCATAAATAAACATATGTATCTAAAATGTATGGCATGCTATTTGTAATTATCACAATTAATATTAAGTATTAATATATATACTAGTAATATGATAATGTATTAATATTTGATGTCAATAAACTCATATCCAAAATCGATTTTCGCAAATCGACGGACAATTTTAAAAGAAATAAATTTTAACAAAACTTTACTGCAGTATAATTTCTTTCAGTTTATAATGAATAAATCTTTTGCCATTGACGCGTTTTTAGCGTCGTCGAGCCAAATGCTTTGGCAGTGACTTCCATCGATGGTCTATAATCCCGGAATAAAGGAAACATATGCCAAATGCACGCTCGTGCTTGAAACCGTCGCATCGCTTGAATGAATAATATAACACCTTAGACATGAACAAAAGATGGTCGAATTTCAAATACGACTATGCATTTGGTGCCGTTGGTAGCGTTGTACGAAAAACAGTTTCCATGTCTCTTTATTATTCATCCAAGGGAATACATCGAAGGTGAAGAACAACCAGTTGTACGGCTAATGACTGCCGTTTTACGTAAAAATAAAAAAAAGAGAGAGAAAGAGAGAAAAAGAGAGAAAAAAAAGAAAGAGAGACGTGTACAAATGTAATCCGGGTCATCCGCATTTCTGGACAGGAATACGCGGGTGGGCATCACATAGAATGGAAGCGTCACGCGTGACGTCACTTGGACAACTTGGTACCGAAGGAAAAGCTGATTTTACGCTTCGGTCTACCTTTATTCTTAACGGATCCGTTGTCGCCGCTCTCTTCGCTGTTGGAGATCTTCTTGGTCCGCTTCTCGGGATCGTGATTGGGATCGCCGATGTTATTTGATATCTCATTTTTCGGTGCTCGCAGCTCAATCGGCTCGGCCACGGGGTCATCGTTCAAGATGCTCGGTGGCAAAGCGCTACTCTTCGTTTTGCAGCAAACCACGCAGACGCGATCGTTGATCTTGTTGATGAAAGTGCAATGCTCGCAAGCCCATTCCTCTTTCGGAATTTCCATCATGACTGTCTCATCGGGTACGATTTTCTTGGATGATGCATTTGTACTTCCGACCGTATCTCTCTTTTCTGTCTTTGGCTCCTTCTGAGATTGAGACGTTCGCGTTTGCTGCTGTTTCGTCTCAGTACTGTCCTGTCTTTTCTGTTGAGCTTCGGCAGTTCGTATCGAATTCTTCGACTGACGGTCCGTAACTTGAAGATTACCTATTGTTTCAGGTAAGGCTGAATCTTCCTTGTCCTTCTCCTTTCTTATCGGTATTTCTTTAGAGGGCGTTTTTCTGATACTTTGATTATCGGATTCGAAAGAAGATTTTCCGGAACTTCGTTTGTTGGAAGTTTGGTCTAAATCATCAAAATCCTTTTGCCGGAACAACTCTCTTTTCGTGACGAATTCGCGCTCTCGCGAGATATCATGTCTTTGTTGTTCTTTTCTTGTTAAATGTGATTCAACCTCGTCCTTATTCGCGTGATCCGAGTGTCCTCCTTGAGAAGACTGTCTTTCCAGAAGACGCGTTTTTTCTCTAGGTATTCTTTTCGGGGAGGTTACTTCTCGAGAAGGCATCTTCTTAATCTGACTATCGCTGTCAAAGGACGATCTACGAGAATCGCGATGAGAAGATCGTTCCAGATCATCCAACATTATGTCCCTTCGAAGGGATGACGCCCTTTTCAAAGCGTTCTCCACTCTCTCGAAATGATCATCAGATGAACTCGTAACTCGTGCTCGATTCGGCGTATTAACTTTTCGATCAGAGGATTCGTCGTCGGTACTTCGCCTTCGGCGATCGCGATAAGTTCCATTCTGAACGCGGTCCAGTCGAGGATCCATCTTGGAAACCGAACGATCATCGTGATCGTAACGTCGTCCAGAAGAAATAGTGTTGCTCTTTTGAAATTCATCATAGCTTCTCGAGGATGTCGAGTATCGTTTAGTGGACGGACTTTCAGACCATTGGTCTTCGGCATTCATCACTTTCTCCTCGGTCATTAATCTTCTAAAAAATTAATCATTAATATGTAAATATGATCGCGAATGAAATATACATATTTAAATACTGACAAAATTAAATTTAATTTCACAAAAATTAAAATTTTATAAAATTATTCATTATTCCCAAAAAAGATAAATTGATACTCGTACATTCTTATATATATTTAAAACCATCTCAAGTATAGTTTTAAGATGTCATAAATTAATTACAGAATCGTCTATTAGCATCTTAACATAATTTATTAATTAAGACGGTTTTGTAATAAAAATCGGTGTAAGTATTAACTGTTAAGTTTTGAAATAAAAAATGATAAAATATCAAAACGGTTACAATGATCGAATATAGTTAATTAGAAATTAATATGTTTATATAGTGTATGTATATATATATATATATATATATATATATATATATATATATTTATTCACAAAATTTTGTGAAAATGTTTCTTAAATTTCGATTATATTCACAAGGCTAATTTTTATAATATTGATTTAAACATCCAAAATTTTAAATCGAGAAAAATTATTTTCATCTATTATAGAATTTTCCCACTTACTCTCGTCGACCTCTGGACACGAGACTTCTAGTATCTTCGTCGTGATAGCTTCGTTGTCGTATGCTTCTGGGAACGCTGCCGCGTCTACTTCTGGATCCACGGGAAAGTCTATCGTCTATATCGGACTCGTCGGAGTTCTCAGAACTCGCATCCGATGGTGACCCGGGCGATCTTCTCGATCGCGATCTTGAAGCATAAGACTTCCTGGATTTCAAACTAGGAGATGGAGACGCTGGTCTCGATCTTCTAGACTTCACGCTTCTGACTGGACTGTGCCCTCTAGAAAGAGATCCCGGATAATGCGAAGGTAGCATTTGTGTTGACGGATAGCCCATGGGATATCCCCACATGGTTGGATGATGCAGGCTCAGATTGGAACCTCCCATCGATACATCCCAAGAGTTAACCGGTGGGTACCACATCATCGGCATGCCGCCGGGTCCGAGATGTGCCATTGATTGGGCCTGAAATAATTTTTTATCTATCACGAATCTTTCTGCGGGCGTCAGATTTTTAATCATCTAATTTTAATCATCTTTTTTAACATTTGGAAGATAAAGGAAAACTAAAACTCTAATAACAGTTAGATTAATAATTAATGAAATAGCTTTGATATTTGTTTAAGAACATATTCAAAATACCTGATGCATTCCTGAGTTCCACATATGAGCAGCGGTCAAGTCGCAAACGCTGGCTGATTGTATCATAGTTCTAGGTGGTGGCGGAGGCGGAAGTGGTGGTGCCGGTTTTGGACTGCCTACGCTGAGTGGTCTTCCGCTTAAAGTGTCCTTCGTATCAGCGGATGGGTGTCGTCGCCTATTTGCATCTTGAGCCCTCATCACCTCTTGGTATTTTCTGTATCTCTCCTAAAATTCATAATTATTCCAGTTTTTTATTTCAGTTTTTAAAATAAAGAATAAAGTTGTCAAAAATTCAACAAATGAACTCATCACAATGATAAAATAGTAGCAAAAAAATATGTCGAACTTGTCAGAAATAAAGATGACTTCACGAATACATAATTTATTTTAATGAACAAAATTAAGTCAATTTAATTTAATAAATAATTAAATTTATAAATACTTAGTATTTGTCTTGTCCATTTAATAAAATGTAATAAAAGATTATAGTTTTAGATTATAGTAGAGAGCTTCTTTATTTACTTTAATATATTTCATAATCTTAGATTCCTCTCAAGAGTCAATTCAGTTAAAATAAAGCCATTTGATCTTTAATAAATAATTTTGTATGATATTATAATTGATCTTACCTGTAGAGTAGTCATTTTGTCTGTCCCTGATACTGAAGCATCGTTGGAAGACGTGTTTAAAGTATTCGTAGATTTTGACACTCTCGCGCTCGAATCCAGCGATGGTTTTGCATTGGAAAAATTGCGCTTCAAGCTCCCCACCTTGTCGAGCAAAGAAAGTTGCGCAGATCCTTTGATTAGCGCTGATTTAGTCTAATTGTGCGCGAAATTTTAACTTAATTACGTATTGTAGATGTAAGGAGAGAACAACACTCGGAATATGTTGTCGAGAATTGCAGATGCTCGTTTGTAAAACTGTATTAATATTGTTATTGAAAAAAAAGTTTAAATAATCATGACTGTGGCGAATATATTAAAGCTCTCCTTAGAAACATTCTTCTAAAAAAAAATAATATAGATTTGGAAATAAATCAATAAATGTGCAGAATATTTCAGGCTTATTTCAGGACATCAATGTGCGTCGAGAATATTAAAAACAAAAATCTTAAAAATAATAACATGTCATTAAAAAAATTATCTGTGTCACTCTGAGTGTGTGGCAGATTCAAACAGCTGGATGGATAGTTCTATGCTGAAAAGAAGGCGGAGTACACCGAGTGTAAAAATAAGTCATGGTGGTACCTATAACGGTACGGGATCGCTACGGATGCCGATAGAGAAAATTATAATCGTGCGAGAATGATCGTGTTCACCGTGTTCACCGTAGCCTGCCATATTCACCACTCCATAGAGATCGTTCGCGGTAAAAACGATTCGATTACACGATACGACAAATGCCCAGCATTACGAAGGCGCCGACGCGCTACGTTCGTCATTTCCGCGTCATTACATCAGCAACAGAACTGGAAGAGAGAACGGGTTCAGTGAATACGGCATCAGTGTCTTGCGGTAACATGGTGTATTAAAAAGCAACGACAATATGTACAATAAAATCTAAACGTTAAATAGAATCTGGATGTAGAACAATATCAACGATCATTTAAAGCTCGCAAGGGCAGTAACACTTAAGAACGCCTCGGTGTGATGTTTCAAGTAAAAGCTACATCGTTTTAATCAATAACGTCGAAAGAGAGTCAGTATTCAGCGATTCGATTCCGTGAGCACTCGGCACGACGGAGACGAGGTCGGATCTGACGATAAACTGCTCTCGGAGTTAGTCACTGATCCAATCTTGCACAAACGTCATCAAGAAATAGACACTTGATCGCGAAAATTCATTGGTCGTACGGTCGCAACCTGATCTCCATCGAGCTCGAGTAATCCCGAAGCGATTCTTGGATGCATAAATGCTGGGGAACATCGAAGACGATCGACGATTGACGTTGGTGCCTGGAAAAAGATTCACAAGCAATCGGGAGTTTCAGGCTAGGACGCAGCCTACCTGAGAAGTCTTGCGATTCCTCCGCGGTGGTGGCACTGGTGGAGGATTCAACAGGTTCTCCCCCTTCGGTGGGAGTGGTGGTTTGCTTCTGCTTGCGTTAGCGGTTAGGATCCTTCTACGGACGTGGCCCTTCCGCTTCGGATGCTTGTGGTTCATGTCGTCGCAGGCCTCGCAGAAGTTCTCGTTGCACGTGTCGCAACGCGCGAACACGTTCTCGGTGCCGCACAGGGCGCACTTACCAGCATTCGATTGGGGCATCGAAGGTTTCTGGGCTTGCGGTCGGGTCGGAAACTCAATGATCTCGTAGTCGGGGTCTCCACAGTCCCCGGAGAGCGACGGTGGCGGGATTTTCGGAGGCGTCGGGGGCCGACGATGTTGCTGCTCTGCTTGCTGCTGCTGTGCCTTTTTTTATCGAAGAAATGTGTTCACTTTCGAGATCAATATTATGTGTGTATCGATATATAAACAGATTAATGGTACTTTCTGAAACTTTTAAAATAGATACCAAAAACTTTAGAGAGTAAGATTAAATAAAATATATTATAAAATTAATTAATTATTTTGACAAATATATATATAATATAAGTATCTTTTTATTTTCTATAAGAGTTATAAAATTAAGAATTAAAATTAAAAGAAAAGAAACTTACCATGACCCAATGGGGCATAGATCTTGCCATTCGCAACTTGGTGGATGGATTCGATATGGCCATTGGTCGCCATTTTTCAGCTCCCGGATTCTATGCAATAACAATAGAATGTTTTTTATTATTTTCCTTTTTAAGAATCATGATTTGTTTCAGAAACACGTAAGAGACATTGATGCATCTCCGTCATGCTTATTATTCAAATGTTGCACTTATAAATCTCTGACATGAAATTCTATTTAGAATTGTAAAATTGTTTTATATATAAGATGTGTGTGTGTGTACTACATATAATAAAATTATTATAGTTACAGTTAGGTAAAGATATATCTAACAGTGGTAATCATATTCAGCGCGGAAACAACAACGCTTCGTTAAACCGAAGTATCAAAAGTCTAAGCAACTTCGAAGAGCTGGCAGTTTCCAACTCCCACAACTTGTGCCAAGTGTGAATTGATGTCATCGCACCTTGGGTTTGCGAGTCCGAAGCCTAAATAATTTCAGCGTCGTATAATCGAGATTGTACAAGTGGGCATCGTCGCGGGAAAGCGTGACGTCAGAACGATGCTCCACCGCCGGAAGCTGGACCGTCCGGATCTATTTTTGCGATCGAGAAAAAGCGTGTTCCGCGTCTAGAAATAAAGCCGAGCCGCGTGCTGCGCGACATTTTTTCATGGCGTGGGTGACATCGACGATAATATTTTTCTTCCTGTGTGAAATATCGAATGTAATTGAATTTAATTTCGAGATATTTTAGATCACAGCTTTAGATAGAGAACGTAATTGATGAAAGAGTGGATGACCTAAATAAATCGGAAATATCTGACGTATCCAGAAATTCCTGACATATCTTGTTTATCTATTATTACAGATCACTAGTTCTCTGTCCACTTGTCTTATTATCCTTTTATTGGATCGCGGTAGCTTGTCGATTAATTGAAGATATGTATGACGTTAACGAGACAGCGGAAATAAACGTAGCCGCGCAGTGAAAAGCTTTCGCTCGAGAGCCGCGACGAGACGAGAATTAGTTTCTTGAATTAGATTCGATCGTATCTTTAGAATGTTCACTCTTCTGTTCTTCTTGTAGCAAGGACTTTTTTCTATTTTTATTTCTATTTTACACGACAAGAAAATCCGCAATAAAACCATGAAAATATTAGGTTATTTAAAAAGTATCCGCGGTCTTTTGTTCAATTTTTGAATGAAAAAACCGCGGATACTTTTTAAATGACCCAATATATACGGAAATTATAATTTATAATTTTCTCATTAAGACTATGGCAACATCAGAATGTCGAAAGAGAGAAACAATTTAATTTATTTAATGAAATTAAATTATACGCATCATGTATTATTTATTCAATTTATTTATTGTTAAATCTCTTTTATCTAAGTATTTCATCTCAAAATGTGACAGGATAAAAGAAAGAACCCGAAATGTAAATCGAGCGCAAAACTATTTCTCGTTGAGATTGCATACGACTGTGCAAGCTGGAAATCATCCAACTTCTAGTTTATCCCGGAGAATTTCTGTTCGCGAACTTCTTTCACGCGCAGACACGTCGCGCATTTTATTCATGTTTGGAGTTTAGATAGCTTAGTTGCTAGACCACCAGATGCAATCTTAAGATCCGTTTATGCTTTCGTCACACTTCCAGCATTGTACAATTACAGAATAATTAGACAATGGTTAGCGAGAGACGCAATCCGGAAAGGGATCTCGAACCGGAAGTAACTGTCACAGTGGGAGTATAGAGTTACAAGTTACAGATAACACGCACGCGCTAATTCGTAAGTCTAACTTTCCGCGTAGCAGTAGTGTGAGAAATGGGTCCTGCTTTATCTTTCGTTACGTTATTCCAATAGTCGCTGGTACCCGCATAGGATAGGTGCCTACGCGAATACGATACTACGAGACTGGCAAATTGCGAAGCAATGATATGGATTTTAGACGCCGTGGAATAAATAATTATCTCAAGACGCGAATTTTCGTTTTTCTCTAATTAAATCGAGACATTTAGCAGTTGAAATTTGAAGAATCTCAAATTTAGAGTCTCTTCTTTGTTCTCATAAAAACATTAACAATTAAATCTGTTGAATATTTATTATATATTATCATAATTATCATAAAATCGCGCTTAACAAATTTCTAATTATATTTTTGTTTATGTGTCTTTAGGAATAAAATTATTTATGCTTTTTAAAAAGAAACAAGAATAATATTGATATATTGCTGCCTTTTACGACGCGATTGCGTCAAAGATGTTTTCTGTTAAATTCTCAAGAGATGTAAAGTAATTTGACTCATCTCTTAAATTAGAAAATGAGCACTATTGAGTTGATACTACTATCGACATTGTGCCTTAAGAACGAAGTTAAATGCACGCGCTGTGCGTAGTCCAAGTCGATGCACCATGCGAGCTCCGATTTAGACAATCAGTATCGACGACAGCCGATCTATCGTAACGTTACAGACCGTTTTGTGGATCACGTCGATAAAACACTGAGATTTTCGGTCAACAATGGCCAACAATTGGTCAACAATGCTATTTTATTAACGGTGTTTTGTTCAGAACATTCATTATCGAAAAAAATCATTCTTTGCGATGCGATTTTACATTTTTTAATCATCCAAAATGTGTGAAATTATGTTATGTCCTCCTGAAATTTATTATCCTCGCAAACAGTGTGTCATTTTTCCTTTTTTTAAATGAGAGAAGGACAAATGGCGTTTGTACTGAATATCATTACGGAAGTCCAAGAGGCGGAAGATGCACCGGAGGTTGCACTCAATGGAACGAATATCGACACTCACGTTCATGAGGGACACCTCGCCGGGGTTGACTTTTCCGGTTTTTCTCGGGAACTGGTCCACACGATACTGGGTCTTGTCTCTGGTGTCGGCTTGAACGGCGCTGCTCGTTCGTGGGCAGCCGTTGCATCGCCGCCGAAATCTATTTCTGTAACGCCGTGTCTGCTGGACCGTTGCCACCGTTCCTCCTTGGTCTCCCCGTTTGCGTAAATATATCGAGATGCTCGCTATGTACGTGCAGCTTAGATGTTACTGGTATCGCTTTAGGAACAACTACGTCCGTTTTGTTCCGGGCGAAAACAATAGCCATTCTTTTCTTCAGTTCTTCAGATAAGCGAATATTTGGATGAAGTATTTACAGCATTTCTTGGTTTCCAATATCTCAAACATTAAAATTCGAATTAAAGTTAGGGAAATTTTTTAAGAATCAATTTTTTAAATAATAACAATGATAATGTAAGGAAATGTCTATGTGAGCTAACACAAGGTATTCGTGTGTAATAATACATATATTAAAAATTTTAAATACATACGTTTCGACCCTAGTATTGAGTCCTCTTCAATGTAAAAATGTTGATAGCCATCCATAGAAATAAAAAAATAATGTGTTTAAATTTTTAATATACGTATTATTGCACACGAATATCTTGTGTTGGCTCATATAGGCATTTCCTTATATTATCATTGTTGTTTTGAGTTATCTATGGAGTTTTTTAAAGTTGTTATCTTAGAAATTAAAAAAAAAATTTTATTAGAAGAAAATAAAACTTATATATAACTATATCTATCTCGCTTCAAATAATGGCTATCCTCTTTTTGAATGGGCAGACGTTCGATATGAAATATTTGCGTATTCTCTAAAACTTTTAGAGTGAACTGTCTAAACTTTAAAGAGTGAAATCTCACTTTTAAAGATTGATTTGAACTACTCTTTTTCAAGATTGGTTTTAATTTCCACTCTTTAAAATGAGAGATTCACTTTAAAAATCATATAGAGAGCAGTTTCTCTTCATTCTTAACTTTTTATAGTATAAGTCCGTTTATATCTGCACTTCATTTATAAGAACAAGTTCATATTCAGTATTAATAGAACAAAGAATTAGTGAGCCTCTATTATCCGATACGATTATCAGAACTGTCTTGTCTGACATGTTCGATTATAAATGGAGTTCTATTTTATTATATTTTTTATTATTAAAATCCGAAAGGAAGAGAGAGAGAATTAAAAATTCGGAGAAGTTTTAAGATTAATTTTTATAAATAACATTTTTATCTTTGAAAAATTATTTAAAAAACTTTGCAGGAAAAGAAAAAAGAAATTCAAGCCAAATCTGTCTCGCTTCGAGCAAAAGTAATGGTCGCTCTTTTTTTACTTCTCTAAACAAGCAATATAAAGTGTTTGTAGCTCTATTCTTGATTTCCAATCCTACACATTTCAGACAGAAATTAACATTAAAAATAAACTTCCTTAAGAATGAGATTAAAGTTATTTTAAAAATTAAAAAGAAGTAGAAAGGAAGAAACTTGCTGATGTGTAACATCAAGAAATCTGCAATTATGTTAATCGCGTGGAATATATTAACGGAATGCCAACGTGACATTAGTCGAAGTTGACCGGTCGCAGTTGACTTATGTTCAATCCGTAAATTTACATGGTAAATTTACGGATTTGTTGGCACACCCTGCTATCGCCATGGACATTTACATTTGACGTGACATTGTCATTACGCAAAAGTAAGTACCTATTATTTGCATATTATATTCCAATAAGACGATAAGATACAATTCCACTGACTCTATTAAGTTACATGATTTTTAATTGACACTCTACTTTGTATCGCTACTGCTTATTATCCTTTAGCTTATTATCCACTAGCCTTACGAGGCATGTGCACGGAAATGAGCTCAATGCATTGAAACGTTAGAACTAAATAGAGTATAACTGAACGCATAAACTTCGGTAACGGTCAGGCAATATGTAATCTGTTGTTGCATTATTGCATCATTGCTTCTCTTTCTCTCTCTCCTTTTCTATTCTCTTCTCTTCTCTTCTCTTTCAGTAATCGCTTCCCACGTACGCGACATTCACGCGTTCATGTGGGCGCGCACACGCACTTTTTCTGCCTAGAAATGGTGACTCCGAGAAAGCGAGTGATACAAGAAACACTTTTAATGCATGACATTAGATGCAAAACAGTGACCTTTACAGAAATTCACGATCCATAAATTCAGTTGCGTTAATAAACGCACTCTATCCACAATTCTATTAGCAGCTTCATTATCTATATACGTAACCGGTCCTTGTAGCTATATATTTGTTGCAACATCTGTTGAATCGTTGTGCTAAGTCACTACATTAAGTCATTATACGTGCAGTTGTGGCATAATTATGAGATAACGTACAACAAATAAATTATACAGTTATTCTTAGTATATTATAACATCATTTGCATGAAACTATAAAACGATATATACTTTTTATACGTTTTAACATATTCTTATCTATAATTAGAACATCCTTTATCGTCGCGGCCGCTTTCAATGCTGATACGATCAGAAATCGTAATAAACTTTATGGACTACTAATTCTTCCGGAACTCCTTCAGAGAGGAACGATGCAATTAATTAAATAAAATTCTTCGGGCAAATAATGGTCTTACAGCTACAAGATCTTAACGCATAAAAATTTTTATTTCTATTTTTTAAAGAGAAAAAAAGGGAAAGAATGTATCCTGAGCACATATGGTCTTAGTATATCATCGTAAACGATGGTCCCAGGTCCTCGCCAGGTGAGTGCACACGGGAGAGTGACCGTTACGCAGGTAAGAAGCAGGTAGGACGCAGGTTGGTTCTCCAACTGTAGCGCCACCTGAGCCGATCCATCGTTGGTGCCTCAAAATGGCCGTTCCTCTCACCTCAGACCTTCCTGGAACGCCGACGGAGGCAGGTGGCGGATATTCAGATCCGATCTGACTCGCGAGGCTGCCTGGCTTAGTGCCAAGACCTCATTCCAGGTGGCGGACGACCGAAACCGTGTCACCCAAGACGTTCGTACGCGCCGCGCTGGAAGGTCGAAAGTGGTTGTCGTGCGTGTAATCGCGCGAGAGTAGTACTCGTGGAGGAGTACACCTGAGAGTACACGGTGGTATCCACGAGGCGAGTTTGAAACGGAATCCCGGGATCCCGATCGTGAGGCGTTTCGTTGACAAGTAGCGATCGATATCGCAGCGATCGCTGGTGAACAGGTGGACTCGATCGGTGGTCCGCTTGACTCGCCGCTCCTCTTCGCCGTTCCCTCTTCGTGTTCCTCCTCGTCCGCGTCACGCGCGCGCGCGCGCGGGACTCGCGAAACGGAGCGAGGCGCTCGCTTGGTGATTTCGATGCACGGTACGGAAATAATCGGTAAATCGAAGGGGACCGTGAGTGATATCGCGCGCGTGATCGTTACGTAGTGCTCGAGGCTCGTCATTACCTGCGATCTTCCACCTGGCTGCAAAGTAGTCGCGCTCAAGGCGATACCAAGGACCAGACGAGAGAAGGAGACATGCCTGGCAGTCACGGAAGTCATCGAGACTGCTCGTGAATGACGCTGAAGCGAGGATTATGAGGACGTACGTATCGCTGCTCGAGGATAAGGATAAGTCAATGTATTCGCGTTTTTGAGAAGCAAGAGTCGCTCCACTTTTACCGGAACGAAATTACCGCTCCACGGTTCTGTGATTTTCGACAAATGACCATGTAGAAATTTATTGTGTATGAGTGTGAGGAGTATCATTATTCGTAATTGGCTAAATGATCTGTGTGATTAATAGTTGTCTGTCTTTTGATGATGGTGTATCAATTCTAGGACTTCTCATGATGGCACGGTCATTTAGATAATCTAATAATATTTAAACGATTTCATGGAAGATTTTAAGAAAGTCGAGCCTATCTGCAGATCTTCATGAATAATGGGGAAATTTCTCTAGAGACATTATTCACTAAATTTTAATAATTATTCAATATTCAGCATCGATAGCTGATATGGAACCTGTCGCGAGAGTATCGTGGAACCAAATTTAGGACACGTGCATGGATACGTCATGCACGAATGAACGTATTGATATTTATTCGCGCTGCGAGCTCAAAATACTGCAGATCAAAGCATCGCTGTCATATCAAATTTTGTGAATGTTTTCCGAATAACTATAATAATAATTTTCCAAATGGAAAACCGAAAGATTAAAATTCGTAGAATTGGATATATTTCTTACATTGAAAATCAAATGGAAAAGAATATGAAAGACTTCTTACAAACAACGGTCGAGTTTTACACAATTTAATTAATTATCCACGTTATTAGTTCAATTAAGTTAATAAATACTAATGGAATTAATATTTTTAATATCTCAACCATGAAAGATGATAATCAATGTACTTCTTTTATCTAATCCTACATTAGTTACGCCATATAAGCCTATTTCTACCAATGTAGAAATACACTTTAATCTCAGGTTAATTCATTCTTCAGCTTTTTCTAATTCTTAGAAATAGAAGAAGATAAAAAGTAAGTTAAACCGAGATTAAAGCTAACCTACATTGGTAGAAATTGGACATTAAAACTATACAACTGGCAACATCATTTTCATGAGTTTCTTTGCGGCAAATTTCTTCATACTACATATTTATAGATACGATAAGAATCTTACATAATACACTGTTAGATATCGAAAGAACAATGGTAACTACCTAATTCCTTAAATTAAATAATATTTCGTTATTTTTAATTTTCATGTTAAAACATAAATCAATCCATTTCTGTGATTAGTTTCAAAGTAAACATCATTCATATTAACATATGCAATTAGTAAATAATAAAAGAAATTTAAATCTCAAATTTAATACATTTTCTTAAGTGTAAAACTGTTTAACTCCATTTAGTCAAATTAACGATATATTAGATAAGAGCAGAGGCGATTTATACAAATGATAAAAAATAATTCAAATTGGACATAATGAATTTAACAGCAATATCTAGAAACTTGCGTTATATTATAAAATTTGAGTATTGCTTAAAAAAATTGATATGAATCTGTCAATTATAACATTAAATGCTACGATATTTCTTTCCTCATTTACGCGACGCGTTCCGTTATCGCGTCGTTTTCACGAAACAACGTTCCGCGTATACATATTATATATCCGAAACGAGAGTCGCGGCCGCATTCCCTGCGATTTACCTCATAATAA